CCATTTATTACTAAATGAATTAAAATCATAAAGAAACCTCTTAACCTCACTGGGATGCTTTCTTTCATTTTCATCCCAGATTCCATCAGAGAATATTTGCCTCATGAACCCTATAAAGTTTCTCTCCACAGTTTTTCTCCCCAGGTCTTTATAAGAAGCTCTTTGCAGCTCTTTCAGTTCTCCTGCTTCCAGGACTTCATATACAGCGATGTGGACGATATCCTCTGTAACACAGAAAGTAATCGACCAAAGAAGTGCTCTAATTATATAACCTGTAAGTAATCATTCATCTCAGGAAATTTTTCTTATTAATTAAAGAATGTGCAAATTTGATGGCAAAACATTTAATGTATAAAGGAAAAATAAATGTTTTAAAAGAGTGAAAAACTAAATACCTTTGCAAACAACAACGTATTGTGTCCCTGGAGATCGATCCATTCTGCCCTGTTCTCTGCTCTCTGTGATGAAACCATCACCTGGAAGCTTCATACACCAGGATAAAGCTGCTTCTGAACGCAATGCAATCACCAGTTGATTTATGTCTGTGACAATACCTGCCTTAAAGAGAATAAATATTTATATACAATTATATATTTTTTCCTCCCTACTTCTTATCAGTCTGTATCTGCAGCTTTTTGGCAGATATGTTATTGGAATCAGTGATTGAGAGAAAGTTTTGACAAATATATTTAACCATTTAATGTAAATTAAACTTTTCAACATGATGTTACCTGAGTTGCTGCTTCTCTCATGAACTGTTCAGCTGAATCATCCCAGTTGTCAGGAACAGTCAACACCCAGGTGAATTCAGAGGCTGTTAACCTTCTACCTCCAGTGTCACTAATGTATGTCAGAGCATCATCTTTCAGGAATCTCAGAGCCTCTGCAAAAACATCCAGAGCCTTCATTTCCCTTCCGTTGGCTGCTTTAATTTTCAGGTCTCTGGTGAATTTCTAAAGATGGTTAACAAGTTTATTAGTTCAATCATGTCAAAGTATCAAGAAAAAGTAAATTCACCAATTTCTAAAGATTTAAAAAAACACATTGTTTACATTTTTAAAATATTTCAGCTCAGATTTTCTGTAATTTTCTGACAAGTTATGTGAAAAAGGCCAAATACAAGTTAAATGAGAATCACAACAGAGTTTAATGATTGAACCCAAGTTAGATTTTTTTGTAACATGATAGAAACAAGCTAAAAAAAAGCAGATAATATATGAACAGGTAAATAAATCATTGTGTACATCTATACTGTAGTTGTAAAGCTGTATCTAAGCAAGAAAGCTATGCTAATATTTAGAAAATTAAAATAAACTACAACAAAAGAAAATTGATACACAAGTTTGCAATACAACAAACAAGACAAATATAAATAGAGCATACATTTGTGTATAAATATCTATACAATTTGGCTGTAAAAACATAAAACTTTTAACATCTTACTAGCCCTATAACCTGTAAAATGTAATTGGTTTAAATTAGCTTAAGAATCTGAAATGTTTGATTTTTGAAAAGTATTTTTACTCACTTTGTCATCCAGAGAAATCTCAGAGAAGTCAAAGAAAAACAATCTAGAATCTCTGCTCTGATGTAAACAGGTTTTTCTGGCTTCATATCCAAAGCTGACAAACTGTTGTTGTTCGTCAAACAGGATACAGGTAGGAGTGTCTGGGGTTCGTTGTCTAACATCTTCAACCCAATATTTCAGACGGGGTTGTATCTCTTCTTGACTGGATGTTATACTAAACCCATAGCCACTGTATGCTGTTCCAAAGTCTATAGCGATAATGAATGATTCCATTGTAGGGAGAGGTCCTGCAGGTTCTGTTGAAGAAAAGGATCAAGTAATGAGAGGTTGTTGTTCAGGTTAAATATTTAGAAATAGTTTAACTGGGCGGAACTGACTGAAAGTCCACCCCTTCATAGAAGTGACATAACTGAGTTTTATCAATCTAATATTGTTGACCAATTCCCTTTGAGCAAAAAAGCAAAGCAGCAGAAAGCAAGACAACTGCAGGCCATCAATGTTTTCTAACAATTGCTGTAGAAAGAAACATTCCTGTACAGTTGCAGCTAAAGCCATACACTCTGCTTCACCAGTTGACAGTGCATCCGTAGGCTGTCTTTTGGTCTTCTATGAGACCGATGAACCATTTTTATTTAGGCTAACACAGTAACCTGTAGTACTCCGTCTATCAGCTACATCTTTTGCCCAATTCACTTCACTATATGCATGAATCAAGTTATCATTTTCACCCTTTTTGTAACTGTTCTTTGTCTTGTGTCCATTTTAGATGTCTTAAAACATGCTTGACAGTGCTCCACTGCTCTGTGATAGGTCTTGTGAAATTCTGTGATAGTTTGCCGTGTATATATATATATATATATATATATATATATATATATATATATATATATATATATACACGGCAAAATCCTTCACCATCTTCACCATGGTCAGGCTGCATCCATGTCCACAGTTTCCTCGTTTTCCCACCACTTTGGTTCAAATTTGAATTTTCCCCATTGACTTTTCCAAAGCATTTTAATCTAACGATTATCAAATTTAAAGAATTTTAATGCCAATTAAGGCCTTAATTTAAAAAAATAATAATTTAATTACTTTTAATGACCTGCAGAAACCCTGATCATGTTCTATTTATTAGTTTTGTGTCATTTGGAGCTGTTCTGAAGATATTACGTTTAGTTATATCCAAGTAACATCTTCCTATGGGCAGTTTGAAGCACAAACTGAACTGTTCATAATTTATTCTTTATGGTACGTCAGCATCACATGTAGGTGAATCACTGTGCCCCAGACATCTGTGGTTATATTTTTAATATGTATATGTTTTAAAAACAAAGCAGGGTGTGTATGTGTATATCTGCATTCAAATAGAAAATAATAAACATGTTTTTTCTTGTCACAGTGTTCCACAGCACATGTTTAACCATGAAAAAGACTATTTTCAGCACATGAATGTAGCATTTTCATTAACTAAATTTCATGTAGTATAAGAGCAGCTGAATAAACTGCTAACACCGTTTTATCACTGTTTAACAAAGTCCAAAGCATATCATTTTATAAGGACTATAATCAAACTGTCACTTATTATGTTTAAAGTACACTTATTGAACACAGAAACAAAGCTTCATACCTTCTCCCATGGAATCCAACAGAAAAAGCGCAAGGAGAGCGTGGGAAAACCCTTCACAGACTACAATGGTATGATCCGTTCATTTGTCTTTTTAAACCCCAAACTAACACTCAAAGCAACAATCCATGAACTCAATATGTTCCACATTGAAGATAATATTTCACATTTTCATTGGCAACACACTAGATTTACATAAAAATAATAATTTTGAAACAGGAAATTACCCGCTGTTTTGAAATGGATCTGTCATCTTTTCAAAATAAAAGCTGCCGGTGCTCATAAAATTCTCAACAGGTGCCAAAAAAAAATGCATGCCTGCCGAGATATGCGTCCCCAGTCGCGGGAGCGCGCATCGCCTTGTTCAACTGCATGTCGACGAGGAAAACTGATAAAAATATGACTAATGGAGCTTGGGTTCTTATATTAATGATATAAAAACGTTTAAATATACCTCTCGTGGGAAATAAATGTGGTTATTTGGCAGATTCATTTACAAAAATATGGATTTTTTAAATAACATTAAATCCAAAGACTTTGACCGAGGTACGGCTGATTTACTTGTTGTGGTCTTTTGTTATTTACACACAACAATAAACACAACATGAGTGTGTAGCTCTATAGTTCCACCTACTATATTCTATTTTTATTTCTGTGTTAGGTAAAAATAAAAACAATGCTTTATTAATAACCAAGTTTCCCTCCCTATCTCCATCTGTTCCTAAAATTCCGTTAATACTCCATTCTCTCCTTATTAAATATCTCA